CATGGAGAGCGGGAGCAGCTGAGGACTCTAAATTCATGGAATCAGAGGGACTAAGAGCTGGCGGCCAGGAGGCAGGCTTGCAGAATGTACCTGCTGGTTGTTTAAATTATTATATATGCTTGAGTGTTGTTGTTTTTTTAAAAAGAGATAAAATTAATAGAGAGAAATACTGTTAACTGATGGCACATGGAGGGGATTATAATCATTGTAATGAAACAAAGTATATGATTTGTTGTATGTAAAAGCGATGATCTGCCCTGTAAACTTTCACTCAATTCACAATAAAAACTTAAAAAAAAAAAGATGTATTGATAATCACTACGATTGGAAAGCAAACATTGGAAACAAAGAGGAAACTCATTAGTTGGAAAATATGACCTTGGTGATAGAAATGATGCTGGAGATTGCATGATAGAATTCTGCAAGACCAATGATTTGTTCATTTCAAATACCTTTTTCAAACAGCATAAAAGACAACTATAAACATGGACCTCACCAGATGGAATACACTGATATCAAATTGACTATATCTGTGGAAATGTTGTTGTTGTTGTTAAGTGCCATCGAGTCTGTGGAAATAGAAGGTGGAAAAGCTGCATATCATCAGCCAAAACAAGGTCAGGAGCAGATTGTGGAACAGACCATCAATTGCTCATATGCAAATTCAGACTGAAGCTGAATAAAATGAAAATAAGTTCATGAGAACCAAAATATGATCTTCAATACATCCACATGAATTTAGAGATCATCTGAAGAACACATTTGATACATTGAACACTGAAGACAGAAGACCACAAGAGTTGTGATGACATCAAGAATATTATACAAGAAGAAAGCAGAAGGTCATTAAGAAGACAAGAAAGAAAGAAAAAACCAAAATGGATGTCAGAAGAGACTGTGAAACTTGCACTCCAGTGTAGAAATGCTAAAGCAAATGGAAGAAATGAGAAGGTACAAGAACTGAAGAGGAAAATTCAAAGGTCAATTTGAGAAGACAAAGTTAACTATTACAACGAAATGTGCAAAGACCTGTAGTTAGAATACCAAAAGGGAAGGACTCAGTCAGCATTTCTCAAGCTGAAGAAACTGATGAAAATAATCAAGCTCCTTACTCTACAAAGGCGTAATACAAGCCAGTTTTCTCAGAGCAATTCCTAATACCACTTTATCATATCCATACAAGTAGAGGCTAAAGGTGGATTTACAAGCTCTCTATAATCAAGATTATTGTTTGTTGTTGTTTCCTCTGGGCAATTCCTAACACAATTTTTAGCACATCCAATCATGTATGTTGCTAAGTGCCATTGAGTTGGTTCCGAATCATAGCGACACTGTGTAGGGTTTCCGAGGAGCAGCTGGTGACCTTGAACCGCCGACCTTGTAGTATATGAAGTCCTGATGTGTGCGGTGTGTTAATGCGCTGTATTGCAAAGTCGGTTTGAACCACAAGGTTGAACCTGTTTGAACCACCCGCCTTGTGGTTCTAACTGACCTTGAGGTCCAGTGCATTATCCTGCAGAGCCACACCAGGACTCCATAATCAACATACTCATGTTAACTCCATCACACAAGAATGTCTATTTTATAATACTACAAAGGAGAAACATTCAATCCCCATTGTGCAGTCAGATAAACAACCCTAGACACTTTTTAAAACACACAAGTGTAATCTTTTCGGACCCCTCTAGACTGATTCTCCTTTGATGTGCATATGGCCTTAGGCCTCTTGTAGGGTACCTTCAGTAGACCCTGGCCCCCTATCAGCTATCTTGTTTATGCTCTTGTTAGGTGCCATGGACTCAGAGACCTTATGCAGAAATTCTCATCTTTCTGGCGATGAGTCGATGGTGGACTCCAACTGCTGACCTTGCGGTTACTAGTCCAACGTGTAACCTACTAGACACCAGTGCTCTGAAACTCTAAGTGCCAGCAAGTCAGTTCCAACTCATAGCAACCCTGTATCTGGTTTCTGAGGAGCCGCTGGTAGGTTTGAACATGGACCTTGCGGTTCAAACCC